AAACGCTAGGGGACACTTTGCGCACCCTGAGTGGGGCTCCCAGCAGCAAATGAGCACACCTGGCTGTTACCCACACAGCCTTCGCTGAGCTCCGGGCCTGGGGCTGAGGGGCCCCCAGGGATCCAGGGAAGTCATGACCTGAAGGGGCTGTGGATTTGCCATTTCTGCTCATTCCAACACAGATGACTCTGTGAGACAGGCTGGGAGACAGAGGGCGACACGATTTCATGTCTAGGGTTCGACGCCTCAGCAGGAGTCACTTTAGAAAGTGAGGCAGAAGCTGCCAGCTGCCTCTCCAGTATCCATGCCCCCTTCCCTCCTTAACAATGGACAGAAAAGGGTCCAGCTGAAAGGCCACATTTCCAATCTCTCCTGTTCAGAGATAATTCCGCGAATTGTGCTTAGAGTCAGAAGCAAATGGAACTTCTAAGAAAGTTCTTTACAGATGGGCATACTTGGCTGTGAGGCACAGTCCTGAGTCTTCCTTCTTCTTGCCATCTTACACAGGGATGCAACAGCTGGCATTGCAGCAGCCAGCTTGTCCCCATGAGGCAAATGATGGAGATGGCAAAGCAAAAAGACAAAAGATCCAAATTCTCTGATGACCCTGGAGCTTCCATTAAAACTCCACACCACCAACCCACTGCCCACTCTTCTAGTGTGAGGAAAATAAAAACACACATCTCTTTTGTTCAAGCTATTGCCATGTGGGGTCTGTTTCTAGCAGCCAGACACCATTCCCAGCCAATATAGACAGTGGCGAACCCTGAAGTGCCTCTAGCCTTCCTGTAGGTCACAATAGCCACCTCTTTAGGGATGGCCTTCATGTCTACAGCACTTTCCTCTGGGTGTTGACTAGAGAGGCTTCAAAGCATGTTAGTACCGCTAATTTGTGGAGAGATAAAGAGTGACCACACTTGAGTGAGGCCGAATTCTTTCCTACTTCTTGCTCTTGTTTCATGAGTGGCTAGATTGCAGGTCCCCAAGGTTGACAACTATCAAGTGTCTTCTCTACACTCTGAGTCAGGGCCCAGCCCACAACTCCAGGCACACAGTGGGCACCCCATATCAAGTCTATGTTTGATTTGACTATTCGCAGGGAGAGTGACCTCAAATCCCTTTCCAAACAATGGCCATCACAGAAACATTCAAATACCATAGTAGATGCTAGTTGTTATAGCAGAGAAACGAATACAGATAACAATGACAATACTGCTGGCATTTGTGTAGTATTTCCTCATTTCTAGGCCTTTTCACACACATTATTTTGCTATCTCTCCATAGCACCCTTAAAGTAGTCAGGATAGGCAAAAATGCCATGATTTTACAAAAGAAAAAACAGAGGTCTAGGAAAGCTAAATGTGCCTTCTAAATACTAAGAGTCTCCCAGGAAAGGGCTCTTTCTGGGGGTCATGTACACAGAGAGATGTGTGAATGTGTATGTGTGTGTGTGCATGTACGCGTATGCACAGAAACATCTCACGTGTACCCGAGTCTCCTCCTTTGTCTCCCTGACGTATCCCTGGTCCCTCTTGCTGTCACTTTTCCTCCTGATATGTCACCTTTTAGTCAAAGTCAGATCCCTTTTTATCCAGTTCATTAAATCGTCCCCTCCAGACCCAGGACAGCATCACCTGTCCTCCCTGCACACTCCACTCTTCCAACTTGGAGAGTGATGGCCTCTCCTAGTCCTCCCCTGTCTTGGATGGGAGTGTGGATTCAGGACAGAACTAACATGCTTGCTTCATTTTGTTCAGCTGTGATGTGGCTGACTGGAAGGTTCTTGAATAGCAGGACACATGAGCACAGTGTGAACCCACTGAGGCACAGGAGTTGTGGGGCCAGCTGTGCCCCAAGGCCAAGGGCTCCTCCTGATGTTAGCCAACTGCCTGAGCCAGGCCAAGTCCAAGAAACAGTGTCCCGATGCTCTGGTTAGTAAGTGATTTCTTTGTCCCGTGAACAAAGAAGGGTCAGGTGAGTGGGTAAATTCTGGGGAGGTTGCCAAGGCGGTCACAAGCCTGAGAAGTTCTTTCAGTGGACCAGGTCTGGGGCTGGAATCAGAGTCTGGAAGACCTATGGAATCCTAGCAAGTCCCAGGGAGATGTCCCTGGGGCAGTTACAATCCCATGGAGCATAGAGGAAGTCTGAAGCACACAGGGAGGAAGCATGGGGTCCCCTTGCAGGGAGGACAAAGTCATCTGCAGGTCTTCAACACACACTGGGGAGCCTTTACACTGGGCTTAGGTGGGGAATGAAAGATGGTCTTCCATGTATGTACAAGGGAGTCCTCAAGAGTGTTGGTGCAGAAGGCGTGTGAAGATATGCATTTCCTCCATGTCTGTGGGTGCCACTAGACCCGGGAGGGGCTCCGTGAGCCAACCCCCAAAGTGAAACACCCAGGCAAGGAACGATGACCCAGCTATAGAAGATGAGATGCAGACAGAAACTGCACATACAGTGCTATTCACAAACATTAGCTCGTGAATAGTTTTTAAAAAGTAGAGATGATGAACCACATTTGGAGAAAAAGCAAATCAAAGTCAGGTTCTCATCTACACAAGGAAAAAAAATCCACTAACGGAGCTAGGGCATTGTTTAGTAATTTCTGCATCCAGAAGACTGCTTGGAGACAGAGGCAGGAGCCCACCCATCACGCTGCCATCTCTAGCCAAACCTTGTACCAAGTCTAGGTGGCCAGTCCTAAATCAACCATGCCAAAATCTCCTCTGGAGTCATGCTGACATCAGAGACTACTGATGTCATTCAGAGAACAGTGGTCTTGAGGCAGAAGCCTGGATATCAGTGCTGAGTCTGCCATTTGTGGGCTATGTGATTTCAGACCAACTAAATCCAAGCTAGCTAGTTCCGTTTCCTTGTGAATGAGAGACTGAAAGCAACACTTGCCCTGTTCTGTCCTAAAAACTGTAAGCAGTTTGAGGCTCTGGGTCCCCTTCTTGCTTTCATACCCAGCTCTACTACACAGCACTGGGGAGTGCTTGTGGAGCTTAGCCACACTTGTGTACAGGATTTCTGTGAGCACAACCCAGGTGATTCATGTACGCTCTTTTGAGAATGACACTGCATCGCCCAGACATACAACCCTGTCCCATCTCATCGCCAGCCACCAGAGCTGGGGGAAATTGGTCACCTCATAATCAACAGTTGCTCTCCTGTCTCTGGCGTTGCTGCGGCCATTCCCTGCTCTCCTCCCATCTTCCTGCACATCCACTGACGGATTCCACTTCCTAATGCAGCATTTTGGTTATGTCACTCATGGCTCTTAAACCTTTAATGGCTTACCAATGCCAGCTGAACAAAAGCCAAACCCTAAAGCCTCAAAGCTCCTCTCAATTAGGTTGAGATCTGCTTCCCTCTGCCCTGCGCAGAACTCCAATGCACCGGTAATAAAATGAAACAGTCACAGTTAATAGTAATAAGGGATTATTAACAGCAATATTAGTCATTTTAAGTGTTTCTAAGTTTATTGTTATTTTATTAAATAGACTAATTAAAGCAAACATTAATTGCCCAGGTTTTCAGTAATTTACATCTTCAAATGAATAATCAAGAATTACCTACAGATGGACAGGTCCTTCCTGGCTGTCCCACATTTTAAATATCTCTGCTAGTCACTGCACAGGCAGAACTGACTGCACTTAATTTATAAAGGAGGATTTATGGACTTACAGATGACAACAGACAGCCAATCAATAAGGGATGATAATAACAGCATGTAATATCAAGGAACATTAGGTCTCAGGCATGATTTGGGGAGAGAAGTGGGCAGTTAGAAACCTTATCATTTGAAAAAGGTCAAGGCCTGGTAGCAATAAAAATGCCTAAGCAAATAAAATCACACCTGTGAATCAGGAGTGGTATAAATCGCTGGGTGAAAGGGATTTTAGGCTTTGTGAAAAAATTATTTCCCTGGACAAGGGTTTGGGCTGCTGTAGGACAAATAAGGGTGCGTCAGGAGAGGACCTATTTATTACTGCTAAGAGCAATAACAATGAAATGCAGATGTGGAGAATGTTTCCTAGTACCTGGCTTCTCCTGAGGCCGAGCCCTGAATCTTCCAGAAAACAGTAGAGGAATTGGATGCTGTGGAAAGCTTAAATGACACAGCTGGGTCTTACCACATATATTTAAGAACCACTGACTTGGCTGGGTGCAATGGCTCATGCCTATAATCCTAGAACTTTGGGAGGCTGAGGCAGGAGGATTGCTTGAGCCCAGGGGTTTGAGACTGCCCTAAGCAACATAGCAAGACCCTGTCTGTCTCTACAATAAAGAGAAAAATTAGCTGGGCTTGGCAGTGTATTCCTGTAGTCCCAGCTACTCAGGAGGCTGAGGCAGAAGGATTGCCTGAGGCTGTGGTGAGTTGTAATGATGCCACTGTACTCCAGCCTGGGTAATAGACCCCGACTCCAAAACAAAACAAAAACACTGGATTTATGACTTTCTGTCTGGTCATTTATTTTTTCAGGGATGGGGGGATGTTTGCATTGATCTAGAAAAATTGCTTGTGTAACTGAAAAGAAAGCAAAAAACAAACTCACCAAGTTGCAAATTCTATCACCAATAATCAAATTATATCACTAAAAACAAAATTTTGAATATTCATTCTCTTTAGAAAACATTCGCAGTATCACACAGAACTCTGCAGCCAGCTTTACGGCAAATCATACATTCTGTTTAGAAAAATTCAATTCCATAGACTTCTCAAGAATAGGTATACCAGTTAAATGATGTGTAAAGATACTTCCTGTTCTTAGTAGCTGAATAAAGCAGTTGGAATACTATTTGTGTCTCTTCTCCACTAGTGCTTTAATTAGGAATAGGTGAAGAGGTAAAGTTAAATATGTGATGGGTTTTCTTCTAAATGCTCCCTAGAGGATTGAATTCTCAGTTTTTGTTTCTAACACACTGCAATCCAACTTGGCAAACCCCACTCCCCAACAAAGATCCTGCAACCTGGTGATTTTGCAGGGCAAGCTTACCTCCTTGTAAGGTATACTCAGTCACTGCCCTGCTAAAGACTCCCAGGCCTGCCCCGTTGTAAGCTGCCACCTGTATTTCATACTGTGTCCATATGATCAGGTCTGTCACCAGGCAGTAGTTCACCTCTGGGCTAGTGATGTTCCTCTGCTGATACTCTCCAGGAAGGCCAGCCAGGCGGTACCTGTGACAGAAAGGGAGACCGGAAGGCCATGATGGGACGGAAATAACCTGAATCAGGAGCTGGGTTTACCTGCGGCGTTTCTGCACCGTTCAGGGAAAATGAAAGTAAATATAAGCAAAAGCAGAGCTGAGGGGTCAGCCCCAGACAACACCATTTCCCAACTCAATGACTTTTGAAAGTATAATCTAATCTCACGGTGATTGTAAGCTCAGAAAAACGAAACTGACAGGTCAACTATATTACGGTTAAGAAAAAATTATAGCTTTTTAAGCGTAACTTGTCTAGGGAGTACAGAGTACTGTGACTTACTACCAAAAATTCCAGGCATGATTTCCACCAGGGAGTTGCTATGAATCAGTCTGAGACACCACTTTCCTCTGTGACTTTGAAATGTGGGGAGAAACTGAGATGCAGTCTGTGGCCTTGTGGTCTCCATGGACAAGCTCCAGCTCTGTTTCCATTTAGGATTACAGATTTGTCTATATGTACCCCAAAACTGGGGTAAGTGAAAGGGTGCTGAAACTTTCAAAATACAATTCCCGTGCTAAGTACGACAAATCACTTTGTAGAGGACTTTTGTGAGCTGTTGGATGTATGTTCTTTAGTGCACTGAAGGCTGTGCTTATTAAAAAGTTGACGTACACAACTCTGGAGTTGGAATGTATAAACTGAGAAATTGCTGTTTGCACAAGGAAAGGACTTTTATAGTATTATTCTGATTAGCAAATGTTTTTCCATGATTCAGTCTATGGAAGTTAATGCACTGAACTGACTCAGTTAATCTACTGAGTTTTTCTGGATCAGTCCCCCTGGGTAGAGCGAGGAACGCGCCTACAGTAGAAGTGATTGCCTAGTCATCCTGCAGCTTCCAAAAGCACCTAATTTCTGTTCCAGAAGTGATTCTTGCCTTAGGAAACATGGCTTTGTATGCTAAGTGGAAAGGGGAAAAGATTAAGAGGGGTCTAAAATCAGGGGGCAGCAAAAAGTCCATTAGCTTTTCACAGCATGGTGAGGGCTTCAGATTCCTTCAGGATGGCAAACTGTGAATTCTGTAGATTATCAGATTTTGTGTCCATCCCCACCCCATGGAGCAGCACCTCAGCCATGAAGGGGAAGGGCCTGAGATAGAGACGTACAGACCAGGCATCCACAGGCTGCCATCATCTGAAAGAAGAAGGAGCCCAGAAGTTCAGGCCCTTAAGTGTAAAGCAACTTACCAAAGAGAATGATGCCCAAAAGTGTAGCAAGGAAACAGAGAAACGGCAACGAAAGGCTCCTCTTCACAAAAATCTGGACTTTCTTAGCATCTTCTCTCATCCCCTCTTGCCACAGACCATTTGCCCCTGGAGGCCTCTTTGATCGGAAGCCTAAATGACCACGGGCCAACAGCACTTGAATAGCAAGAAGGTCTAAACCACCTTCTGCCGTTGGCTGAAAGGATCCCAGGGCTCGCCTGGTAGGGGTCACCAGGGAGGGAGAGTAGGATTCCATGATGGGCAAAAATGAAAACTAAGCTGTGAAACCACATTTTTGCTTCCCATTCGATCAACTTCTGATACCTACGAAGCGGGCATTCTTTTACTGAACTGCCTATGCCTGGCAAGTGCAGGTGGGTGTCCATTGCATCTGTAGAGTAAGTGGTCCTCATTTATATGGTGGTCCTCAAGGCAGCAGCCACAGAGAGAAAGACTTGGCACATGTTAACCCGTGTGGCATATTTCCATTAAAATTCATCATCTACAAAAGATAAACTTTTGAAATAAACGACACTGAGACCATTAGATAGCTAATGGGACACAGGGAAAATCTGGTTCCAAACCCACACCACACACGAGAGTAGCCTGGGCATGTGAGCAGCATCAAGCACCATCAGTAATCAATATGACAGAATGAGCATGACCTCTCAGAAGGGCTCACTCGTGTGGCCCTGTCACCAAACAATGCACATTCCAGGGGAAAGTGAAGGAATGAGCATCGAAAGACTTGGGCTGAGGTCCCTGCTCAGTCACTTGTGAGCTGGGTAGTCTCAGGCAAATTTTAAACCTCTCTGAGCCTTGGTTTCCACCTCTTAAAAGTGGAAATTATAATAGCATTTCACATGGTTGTTGCAAGAATCCAACGAAACAATGGAGGTGAAAGAGATGTGAAAGTGTAAAGCACCCCCTACATATACATATTTTGAAAACACTGCTCTTCAAGTAAGAAGTATATAAGCAGCAACTCTGATTTATAAGAAACTAGACCAGTCTGAGCCACCCATCTCTCCCAGACCACTCTTTATGCCACTGTGAAAACAGCTTGCAGGATTCACGTCTTCAAAACAGGCTGTGCTCCCTTTCGGAACAGGAGCATTGGCCTGTTCTGACCAGTGGCTCAGGGTGCTTTTGTAATATTCACAGGATGTCTCAGAAGGTCACAATTAATAACAGAAGTGCAGGACATCCTCCTCTTACTGGTAGGATATGTTGCCCAGGAGACCATCTCAGCCAGAACAAGATGATTTTTTATATGGAAATAAACAGGAGCATGTTTTTAAAGGACATAACCCCTATGCTCCTCTCAAAAAAACACCCTGCCTATTATTATAAATATTTTATTACCGCGCACGCATCCTAACTGCGTCTTATGGCCAGAGCCACGAAAGTGATTTATTTCCATTTGCTCTTCCATGCATTGTACCTCGGATCTGACACTGAGACTGTGCCCTGGAGGATACACAATTGCAAACAGAGAGCTGATTTGCAGACCGAAGGATTATTCGGAAATGTTTCCAAGCAAATTCATTTTGGCATGGGTCTTTAATTTCTGAAAACTTTGATATTCACAGGCCTAGGGTGGTGCACCCTCATTTTAGGGCTTTCTTGATTTAAGCCCCTACAAATACAGATGCCCTCATCTCCAGCACTCGACTCTACTGACTCATCACAGAAAATCCTTTTAACAGTAGTAATCCCACAAAATAGAGAAATGCGCAGTCCCTGATGTGGCCTCATAACATCAGAGAGATTTTATTATTAAACTCTGTGCCCCAAGCCTGGTTCTGCGGGATGACTTTTAAAGTCCTTACTTGACAGCTTTAGCCTAGGGAAACTTTTCTTCCACGCGCTGAAAAGAGACAGAGCAGCTGGGATGACAGGCGTGTGCACACTGGTGGAGAGGGCGGCCAATTATTCTCATTAGTTGATGGGTGCTGAACATGAGTAAGAGGCTAAAGCGAGGCCAAGGGCAGGCAGCAGGAATGCCACTGGAGGCTCAAGCCTTTCAGCAGGAGGAACTGGGGGCTGTTATCTAGAAAGGAGGCGGGTCAGGCAATTAGGAACTGTCCTTGGGCGTCAACAGGAGTCGGAGCCCACAGGCTCTCTGCCTGAAGGGGACACAGAGTCTCAGCCTCCTCTTTGCCCTTCTCTGAAATGAGGAAGGGCAGCTGGAGCCCCAAGACATAGGAGCCATGGGTATTGATGGGAGTTCTCTGTGTGCCCCTAGGAAGGGCCCATTTAAAGCATGTCAGGTAGTTTACAATCTGGCTTACATTTGAGGAAAAATTCAGGAACAGTGAATTGGTTTTGACATGCAAACAAGTCAGGCACATAGATAAACCAGTACTAAATGACGAATGGATGACTCTACACATATATTCCTTGGGAATGAGTTGTCCTTCATATACAAAGATAACAGCGTTAAAGTGGCAACACTTCCACAGTTTTTTTACTACTATCTAGGAAATTAAATTAAATGTATCCACTTACGGCCTTTGTTAGCCAAGTGTTTACTGATCACACACTCAGAGTGAGCTCAGGAAGGAAATAATGGATACCTACAGTTTTGTCCCAATAATACTGATAAAATTAACAAATACATCCACAGCAGTACAATCTATTAGAAGACATTTAATAATTATTCTTTAATACTGCTTTACTTTCTCTTTTCGCTTGTGTCAACAAACCACTGCAATTATCACATTCAGTGCAATTTTAAAATTAGCAGTAGTTTTGGCAAAGAAGATTTCTTCTCTCAAACACAGCCAAGTTCTGATATAGTTCTCCCAGTAGTTGTGGAACCCTAACCATCCTTTATGAGGCAGAGATAGAAGACTGGCCACCCTTCAGCTACATCTGGCCTACCGATGTATACGTTTCCTCTGCCCTATGTGTCTAAATATATTGGTTTCGTTTCTAACTTCTAAAAATTGTGAGATCGCATGTAAAAAGCTAGATGACTTTTCTATTTCCTGGAAGTACTAGAAGATCTGGCAATACTGAGCAACATACTAGCATAGTGACAGTTGATTAATAACTAGGTCAAATTAGTTATTATTAACTTAAAATTATTATGTTGACTAATACATGTCCTTGGTGAAAATTCAAATGGAATTAAAGGACTTATAATGAATAGCATACCTTGCTCCCAACCTATAATATCCCCCTCTTCTCCTGCTAAAATGTAACCACTGATATTGGTTTTGGGTATATACTTTATGATTGGATATGCACAGAATGTCTCTGCAAGGCTGCCCATTGGCCTGTGGTCTCCAGTTTGTCACAGTCCCTACTACTCCATAGAGTCTTACACCTGGCCTGATTCCCTTTATTATTGCTTGGCTCCTGTAGACATTAGAGTTTGCACCTCAGTGAAACAGATACTCGATCTTTTTAACAACAGTCTAAAAACATCCAACCACAGGCTACTTGCCTGAGTATGTATCCACGCAGCACCCCATTGTGCTCCGTTTCTGGAGGCGGCTGCCACTGGACCATGATGGACTGATTGGTACGCCCACTGGCCACTATATTTTTGGGTGAAGCACTGGGTGGCTCCTCAGGTAGCATCAACCTAAAGATAAAAGATACATGGGAAAGAGAGAGATGAGTGCCAGAAACAAACGATCCCCATTTGCATTCTCTATCTTGCTGAATCTTGAGCCTGTTGACAAGAAAAGCAAAAAACACAACTGATCAAACTGAAAGGATGTGTGAGAAACAGTTATAACAAATCAACGTAATAGAAAATCAGTTAAGCAAGCAACAAGGAAGCTCAGGAGGTGACTCTGTTCTGTCTGAATAACCCGTGGTGCCTCAACTCTTTTAAAAGATTATAAGCCTGAGCGAATCAGCTTATAGGGCCAGCGTCTGAGACTCCTTCCAAATTGTTTTTTTCAGCTCTTTCAATATTTCTCATACCAAACTCCCACATTTTGAAAAAACCCATTTAGAGCTCAGCTATTCTACAACTCAAGCCCATGGGAAACCTGGGTCGGCTGGGGAGGGCATGCGGAAGTGTATGCAGCCATTTTCCCCTGTCACATCCGAATGAGCTTCAAAAGCGGCCCTCACAGGGACAGACAGGCGCAAAGGCCACTCAGGAGCATACCACCTCCTCAGAGACACCCCAGTCACTTGGTTTCCCTGCAACACCCTGCCAGGTGTCAAAGTGGTGGCACCAGTTTCCACCCTTTTGGCAGCCGGGGTGGGTAAAGGACGCGGCAAATGTACAAGCCCTTAATTTCCTGTATATAGAGGGCTGTGCTGCCAGGAACGATTTCTGTAGGCACAGACAGAGTGCCAAGACAGAAATCCAGGAAACTTGCCTCCGAGCAATTAAGGAAAACCCGGTGACTCCAAGGTGTGACCGTGTCTCCCCTCCTTGTGATAGTCTTTTCTTCTACATTTTTGCCAGCAGCTCTGAGGGATGCGAGGGGTCACTTGGTCAGTTTCCTCCCCCCAGGGGAAGGAGGTCCCGGCTGTCGCTGCCCCACTCAGGGGTGAGGTCCACACACCTGCTTGTCTCCGCGCTGTACTGGCCCTTGCCGACTTGGTTCACCGCACACACCCTGAATCGATAGGTGCGAGCTGGAGTCAGGCCACTCACGGTGACACCTGTCATCTCAGGGCCAACGTCTGACAGGTGCACTTTCCATGGAGAGTCTGAAAGAATGAGCAAAACAAGTTCAAATCCACATAAGTGCGTGTCTGAATAATAATAAGTGAATGCAAACGCATTCCCATAAATGATCTCATTTGCTCACCAAGACAGCTCTAGGAGGAGCTGTTATCTCCATTTAACAGATGTGGAAACTGAGGCTCCCGGTCACGTGGCTAGGAACGAGTGAGTGTGCCATGAAACTCGGGATTTCCCACCCCATATCTAGTATGCTTTCTCTTATCCCCATGCTGCCAGCAACAAGTAAGAAATTTTTTCGTTCAACCTGCATATGGCGGTTTAAAAGAAACCAAAATATTCCCAATTCCTGTGTTCAATACATAATGGGGAAAAGTTCTCTGTCAGCTCACATGGTTAGGCAGATTGCAGATTTGTCTCCCAGAAAAGGATGCTGCACATGTCACTGAATGATAAATAAAAACTATATTCATTAACATTTTAATAAAAGAGAAAATGAGCATGGTAAAGACAGATGGGCTGTGTATTTCGCAGCCCATCTGCGTGGTAGCGCATTACACCACCACACCCCTGAGTGGCTCTGGCTGGAGAGAGACATAATGAAATTCACAGCTAGTTTAGAATATCTCTCCACCCAGCTTTCCAGCAGGTGTGGAAGAGTGACTCCGCCAGCCAAATGGGGTCTCGCCTGCAAGGCTTCTGAAGGTTCTGCCAGGGTCCTACACCTTTGTGTGATTTTTTTTTAGAGTTTAAATGTGCTCTTCGGTCTAATCATTCTGTGGAGTGATGCCCTAGAATGAACAAGGCCTGGCAATGACTTCGAGCTTCTACTGTCAGTTTCCATCCTTAATTGCGATGATGCCTGAGCTAAGTTTTCAAGTTATTAGCGAAGTAAAACATGGGAGAGGAGGTTGGAGAGGAAAGAGTCCTGTGGAAGTCAAACACCTTTCTCGTTCTTCTAAAGTAGTGCTGAAATCCCTCTCACTCACATTGGAGACAGCCCAAAAAAGGTGACATATGACTTCTACTATGGTGCTGGGCTACGCGCAGACTGTAGTCAATACCAGCTGCATGTAAACATCTACCCATAAAATCACAGCTGCTTCTCTAAACCCTAAAGACCAAACCACGGGGATTCCTAGGTCTGTGCCTGGGAGCTCATCAGAACTGCGCCTTGGCTCCTTACACCTCACCAAGCAGTGGCCATAAATTGCTCCGAAGTGAAAATGAGATTCTCAAAGGCAACGCCTGCTGCCTCACACAGAGATGTCTATCATGAATTCAGAGTTTGTTAGCTGGATTCCTTAACACAAAGTTAAGCTGCTCTGAAGCATGATGCCAGTTGGCTATGAAGGTGGAATCTTTTTAATTATTTCAAATAAAGCTGCTTCCAAAAATGGTTTTCTGGGAATGCAGTCTTCACCACCAGCTGGGCATTTCAGTGCTCTTGGCTTTTGATTTTCAGTGACATGGATAATGGACAGCTGATTAGGATCCCCCTCTCTGCAGGTTTTCTTTACAAACAAAATGTGTGCATCCTTAGCTACCTATAGAAAACTCACACTTACTTGTCTTTTCACTCTGGGAGTCTGAGACCCTTCTACCAGCATCAAGAAGCCCATGGTGATCTGGTTTTCTTAGCAGGGTCTCATACAGAAGGGAGCCATTTGTCAGCGCAGAAGATGACAGTGCCTTCCCTAACCTCAGTGTAACTGGGCCTAGTTGGTAGGAAGAAGGGCCCTCCATGCCAAGTCAAGCTTCTGTGGAAATGCTGTTTTCATTATGAAGACACCTGATACATAGCAGAAAAAAGCACGTAGACTGCAGTTGAGTCTGAGCTCTCCCACTTATAGTTATTTGATTTTGCTTGAACCTTTTCTGTAAAAATGGGGACAAGTCAAAACCACAATGACATATCATCTCACATCCACTGGGGTGGCTATTATTTAAAAAAAAAACAACAAACCTCCAAACAGACAGAAAGTAACAGGTGAAATTCAAACACTGGTGCATTGTTGGTGGGAATGCAAAGTAGCACAGTCACTACAGGAAACAGGATGGTGTTCCTCAAAAAACTAAAACAGAATTATCATATCATCCAGTAATTCTACTTCTGAGTTTGTAGCCAAAAGAACTGAAAGCAGAATTTCAAAGAGATATTTGCACATCTGTGCTCACAGCAGCATTATTCACACTAGTCAAAAGATGGAAGCCACTCAGGTGTCCATCGATGGATGATGGATAAATAAGATGTGGTCTATCTGTACAATGACCATTATTCAGCTTTTCAAAAGAAGGAAATTCTGACACACGTCACACAACATGAAGGAACCTTGAGGACATTATGCTCAGTGAATTCAGCTAGTCACAAAAGGACAAATACTGTGTATTCCACTTATATGAGGTACCTAGAGAAACCACATTCAAGAAGGGGCTGGGGGAGAAGGAGATAGAGAGCTATTGTTCACTTTTGTAATGTGAAGGATGGTAGTGACAGACGCACAACAGTGTGACTGTGCTTAATGCTACTGAACCGCACATTAAAAATGGTGAAGATAGTACATCTTGTTCTGTGTGTATCACCACAGCTAAAAACTAAAACAAATGATGAGAAGACGGGGGAAATGCCACGTAAGTCCCAAGACTGCCTGAGTTTGAACGAAGACGATGTGCACTGAAAGCAGCTAGCAGGAAGCCTGGCCCCGGCCGGGCCTTGCGCCGTACAGCTCCTGCTCCTGTTAGACGCATGCTCCACCATCTCCATCTGGTTCTGCTCCCGACTCATGGCTTCCCTAGGAGATCAGAAAGAGAGCCAAGTCTCTCTTTCTCCCTGGGAGGTTGCCTAGGACAACCGGTGTCCTTTACTCAAAGGTTCCTGCTCTTTGCCAGGTGGCAGCTTTATGCAATCTCTCTTTCTGAGGTTCCGCAACTGTCCGGTTTCTCTGACCTAAGGGTGGAACTGGCTCTGAGGCTACCAGCTCCAGGTATCTGTGGTTTCCTTCCACCCATGCCTGTATAAGCATTCCCTTTCTTAAATTCTCTCCTTGATTATTCTTATTCAAGAGTGCCATCTTTTCCTGCAGGAACCCTGACTGATACAGTACTCAATAAAACGAATCATTCACCCTTTCTTCCTTCGGATTTCACAGAGTCTATAAGGGAATAACTCACCTGCTTGGTCTGGTACAGAGTGAACAACCATCATATCAAAAAGAGGCACAGTCAAAAGGACATTTGTAATCAGTTGACTGAAACGATGAATCAGAGCAAGGAAGAGACAGAGACAGCCCCAGGATGCCGCCTTCCTGCCCCGGCCCCACCCCTCTCAGCCTGGCCCTCGTGATCCTCGGTGTGTGTTCACTTGGAGTGTAAACATCTCCTGAAAGTCCATAACCCATTGCTGAGTCTGCGGCCCAGTTTGATTCGACAACAGAACCTATTAATCTCCTCTGTACCTCAGGGCTCTGTTCAGTCCTCCTTTTGCAACTATAGAATTCCTTATTTATTCTTTTTTCTCTCCCACTAGAAGATAAAAGATCTGGCAGGAAGAGAGATTAAACTGAAAACTAATACAAACGAACCCGATCTATCTCATGGGCACTCTGATTTGCTGAGAAAAAAAAAGTGGTTTGGGAAGGATTTGCTCATTCACAAGCTTCAGAATCGCAAGCTTGCTGAGAACTGTTAAAATTTAAATAGCAAGTCTGCACCTGACAATCAATAAGCAAAATCTCTTTAAAACATTCTTCTCCCAGCCAGTCCTCACAAAAGAGGGTTACAAGATGCTTGTCTTGGGGCTGGAACGTAGAAGAATCTTTTGATAAAGGAAAGCATCCCATAAAAGTTTCAATACCCTTTTCCCTCCCCTTCAGGGGCTCTCTGATCTGGAAGGCTGAGGGATTGCAGACTTCCCCAGATAGACTGTTGATCAACCCCAGCTCTACAGAGGGCATTAAGACTCTTTTCTGAGCAGCCAGGCCCAGAATCGAGGATGACTTAATCACTCCCCCACTCTAGCTGTTGGTTAAAAGCTAGTGGCTTTCAATCTTTGATAATGTACTGGAAGTTTCTTCCAGTAAAAAAGAGCATTCACATTTTCTCAATTAAAGATGCCCAAGGAAGGAAGATGGTTTTTGAAGGAAAATTTTTCTTAATTGCCAAAAAGATCATTCTTATTATTAATACCTAATGTTTGTAAGGCAGTTTGCAGTCTGGAAATGTTTTCATAGCTGCAACCATAGGAACCCTCTTGGGGAGGAGATATAATCACACCTATTTCACAGTCAGGAAGCCAAGACTCATGAAAGTGTAAGTAACCTTTTCCAAACTTTACAGGTGGTCATGACTTAGATTCATGGATTGATCTCAATATCACCAAAAGTGGAATAACCAGGCCTCATGTGCCTCCTGGGGTTATGCAGTAGGAAGTCCCTGGTAACATTCAAGAAGTATTCCCAGACACACACACACACACACACACACACACACACACACACACACACACACACAATCTCTGCAAGAAAACACACAAAACCAGAAACTGGAGGCAATGAAACCCAGTCTCCTGGTAATAAAGAAGATGCAAAAACCAATTAACACCACAATCCAAATCTAGTACCGGAATATTCTCTAGGACAAATGTCATAGCCTCTGCCCAGGCAAGAAAAGGGGAGAGGTGGGGATGGTGGGTGGGTGTTTTGTTGATTAAGAGACATTAAGACACAAGACAACCAATACAATGGGTAGAACTTGATTGGATCCTAATTCAGGTAAGCCAAGCATAAAAGACAATTTTTTCAGACATTTAGGGAAATTTAAACATGGAGTGAATATTAGATGATATTAAGAATTGCCATTAATCTTGTTAGGTGTGATCTCCTTTTTCTGCTTTTCAGCTGCTCACTTAGGGATGAAATGTCATAATTTCTGTGAATGTCTTTAAAAAAAAAGCGAGACAGATGAAACAAATATAGTATAAATGTACTGGTTGTTGAAGCCATACTTTTGTGTCTATTTAGTATGCTTA